AAAAAGCTGCATGTATGTATTCAAATGTATTACTGTCTAATATACTGAAATTAAAACCACTTAATTATACTAACCCTTAAAAACTTTAAAAGAAAAACAGTACCCATACATTTTAAGTTGGCTTCCCCATAGAAATACATAAAAGTATTATTATTATTTTTTATTATTATTATTATTTTTAAGTGTCAGCTCCTTCATTTTTTCTGCTTCCCAGGAATCTAATATCTGTGTTGCCCTGCTGATAAAAAATGCGTTTTTTTACATAAATACATTTAGGTTTTTTTTCTCCCATCTTTAAATTAGCAGTATTTACATTAGAAACCATTTTGGAGTTAGCAGCCAGCTGAAATAATGAACAAAAGCTTAGATCTTGACACTATCATATTAAAATAAAAACTGGACTGATCTATTTTTTTTCAAGATCAATTTGAAATGTATCCTCTAATTTCCCTTGCATGCCTTCCTTGTCTCAGGACATGTTTTAGTGCCTCATGAGTATATCGTCTATTGAAAGTGGTATAAATCACTTTGCCAAGAAGTTCAGTTTTAGTGTTCATCTGTAACCATATAATTTGCTCTCCACAATCCTGTCATACCACACTGATCTTAGTAATGACAAGATACTTGGCCCCTGCCCCAAACTAACTAGATGAATATAAAATTCTTCTCATGCATATGGTGCTCATTGAGCTGTTTTCAATAAAACTGCAGGAATGATTTAGGTCAAGATAGCTACTCATTTTTTTCTCTAAAGAAAATGCAGAAGTGCATTTTATCCATTCATAAAATTTACATTAGACAATATTCTTGCTAAGCCCAACACTGTGAAATGACCTCATTGCCCTGTAGCTTGTGAAAAGTTTAAAGAATATTGTTTTCCTGCGCTTTGGTGCTTGCTTACTTTTATATAAATGTATTTTTTCTTGATAAAAAGATTTTTATTTCACATTATTAAAAAAAATTGTATTGCCAAAACAGAAATCATCACTATACAATTTTTCACCTTCTGTTACTGGTCCTAATGGTTGTTACAGGGGCAAAAAACTGAGGAGCCATGCTTAAACATTAATTTACCTGGTTATGACTGTAAGCTCCTCTGGGAGGCTTGCTGGTGGTTTCCTTAATGATAATGAAATATATAAGCTCATGTAAAGGATACCTATGCTGAAAGAAATATGTAGGCAGACATTTCTGTCTTCATTCTGAATAGCCAGAAATATTTGCAGACTCAATGTTAAGTATATAAACAGTTTTGTTAGGCCACGATTTAAGACAAAGAGATGAGGAAGTGCAAATGTGACTGTTGTATTTTAGAGATAATATCCAGAAATATCATACATATTTAATGCACAATATGTAAGCCAGTTTACGAAGTAGCATTTTGAGAGGGAGAGTTCAGGTTTCAAAATTATACTGTAGCATTTCAAAGACCAGAAACATTGCACAGACTCCATTCACACTTTACTGCAGCTGTAGTTGGCCACAGATTAAGAAGGAGGGACCAGGCAGGTTTAATCAGGAAATAAAAATTATAATGCATTAGTTCTGAGACAACATCCATAAATATTGTACAGATTTTCTGCACAGTATGTAGGCAGTTAAGGATTAATAAAGGGAATTTTCTTTCCTTTTTCTTCTTATGTTCTGTATTACGAGGTAGAGTTACCAACAACTTTTTCTTAAAAGTGAACTTTGTAAGTACCTTTAATTATTTGTGAATTCATATTTGTGATGGTTGTTCCAAATAAGTGTCATATGTTTGTATACTCATTATGATGAATGTTTATCCTAGATTGATGTTTGCCAAGTTTCAACAGATATACTTTACCTTTGTCTTGAAGAAACCTGCATAGCCTGCTAAATGCATTGACAGTGGAAATTTAGAAAAGGCATATTGCCCAAGGAAATGTTCTACATGCTGTTGTAGTCATAAATAACATGTTAAAAACAATAGATATGCACAGATATTTTGATTTTATGGATGCATATCCACTAAAGTTTTTCAGGCTTTGTCAATAAAATTGATACATTTTGAATTACTATTTACTCTTGACGGCTATGTTTAAAGTTCTACTCTTAAAATCTTGCCAATCTGCGTAAAAAAAAAATAGAGTTTATTATTTCAGAGACGACAGCAAAAAATATTGTACAGAATCGATGCAGAGTGTAAGCTGCATATAAACCTCTGCCTTTCACTTTAGGCATTCATGACAACCCTACAGAGGCTGCCTGAAAAAAACATGGCCGAGGACATACTTTGAAACTGCACATATGCATTCCAAAGTCAGCTTGGCTTGGGCAAGCTCGGCCAAGCTCATCTGTTTATGGCTGGGCTGGAGGGGTACATGCAAGGTGACTTCTATCTATTCATTCAGTTGTATCCGACCCTTGGCAATTGCATGGACCGTCACTCGTAAGTGACTTTTTCCATGAATTCTCTTAGCAATTATTTTTACAGGGTAGGTTGCCAGGTCTTTCCCCAACCCCCACCATGCAGGAGATCCTGCATGACCAGGGATGAAAGTGACTTCATGGGACCTTTTATGAATGAAGTGGGCACACCACCCTAGAGACACCAGTGAATGGAGAGATCGGGATGTGAGTGGAGGAGTCTGAGGACTGACTTGGACAGGACTAAAGGTGATTATCTGTACACAAGATTACCCCATATTCTGTACATGCCTATATTCTGTGTGTGTGTGTGTGTGTGTGTGTGTGTGTGTGTGTGTGTGTGTGTGTGCGTGTGCGTGTGTGCGTGTGTGTGTACTGAGCCCACTGCACTGACCTGTGTAGTGTAGTGTGTAGTACCTCACTGACATCCATCCCCCATACACAGAACATTGTGCACATTCATGTCCTGTAGTATGCCTACAGACTCTGACCATCTTCTGTGGTATGTCTGCAGTGTCTGACCATCTCCTGTAGTATGTCTGCAGTCCCTGACCATCTCTTGTAATATGTCTGCAGTCTCTGACCATCTCCTGTAGTAGGTCTGCAGCCTCTGACCATCTCCTGTAGTATGTATGCAGTCTCTGACCATCTCCTGTAGTAGGTCTGCAGCCTCTGACCATTTCCTGTACTATGTCTGCAGTCTCTAACCATCTCCTGTAGTATGTCTGCAGTATTTCACCATCTCTTGTAGTTTGGGGAGCCTGGATAGGAGTAAAGAGCGGGAGTGCTGCCAGGACGGGGGTCATGGGAGGAGCCAGATGTGTGTGGACTATGGAGAGAAGAGTATAGGATAAAACCAGAGCTCAGAGAGAAGCATCTGACTGAGAGCTGCACGAGGCACCTGAGAAGAGGTCAGAGACAGTGCCGCTAGGACATTCTGAGGCGGGGGTCACTTATGTAAGGGGAGAGTGAATACAGTAAAGTAAGAGAGGACACTGATAAAAAAAGGTTACCCTTTATATCAGAAACCCCTTACCTTAGTGTATTCACTCTGCAGAAGGTGGTCTGTGGTCACCAGATCCCCCCACATCAGAGTTCCCAGAATTCCCCCTTGAATCAGTGTCCTCAGAGTTCCCCTTTACATCAGAGTCTGCAGGATTCCCTATTATTATTTCCAAAAAAGGGTCGTTTTATGCCCAGCATTAGAAGTTTATGTCACACATCATTCACTCTTCTTATCACCTGAAGATCAAGCCTTTTCTGACACTTTTTTGTTCACATGAAAAAAATCTGTATTTTTTGCTAGGAAGTTACTTTGAACCCCCAAACATTATATATATTTTTAAAACAGACACCCAAGTGAATAAAATGGTGGGGGTGCTGCAATTTTCCACACGCAAATTGTTTTTAAAAAATACACTTTTTTCTTTTAATGCACAAAAACACAATATATTGGCCAATTATTTGGTAAAATACAAAAGATTATGGTATCCTGAGTAAATGGATACCAAACATGACATGCTTTAAAACTGGGTATGCCCCGTGCAATGGCAACAAACTGCATACATTTTTAATATCCATAGGCAATGCTTTGAACTCCTTTATAAGCTACCATTTTAGATTTACAGAGGAGGTCTAGTGCTAGAATTACTGCCCTTGATCTGACGTTCCTGACAATATCTCACATGCATGTTTACATACTGGCACAGGGTCAATGCTCAAGCACGCAGGTGCGCTCGCAGGGGGGCGAGGGGGCTTTTTTTTTTTTAATTATCTTGATTTTTTAAATTATTTTTACACTGTCCCCTTCATTTTTTTATCACTTTTAATGCTATCACAGGGAATGCAAATATCCCCTATAACTTCAATGGACATTGTTATATATTCTTTTTTGAGAAATCTGCGGTCTATCAGACTTTAGATATCACATTTGCCCTTATTTAATCTCACCAAGATCAGTGTGATCAGAGGCTTTACCAATTTACAAATGGCGCTGTTTATATCCTGCGAAACTGAAGTGATGAAATGCTCGTAGCTTCCGATTTCTTAGACTATAGAGATGATTGGCACCATTCCGGTCTCCAATCATCTCTATGGTCAGCTGGCAGAAACACCGGCTGCATTCTCAGGTTCCCCTGATGGCACGGGACTGCCCAAGAAGGCAGTGGAAGGGAGTTGGGGAGGGAGTTTATCATCTCCTGCTGCTTGTAAAAGCAATCCTGCATCTACTTAGCCACTAGGATTGCTTTTGCATGAAATCCAATCGCCGGCTGAAAAAAACGATACCAGGATGGTGCCTGCAGCTGTAGGCATCATCCTGGCATAACCATTCAAAGTCCAGTGATGTACCAGTACGTCGCTGGTCCTTGTTGGGTATATATGCTATGTTCTTTTTTATGCAGCCTGTGGGCTGAATGAAAAAAAGAGAAGATATCTCTGCCAGAAAAAGTTTGTGGTATGCCCACCATAAGAATATACCACCCTGCATCCGCCCACTTCTAATGGTGGGCACACACTAGGTCGCATGGTGCCCCATGCGCCAATTCCAAGATTGTAGAAATGTCTAAATAGCGGCACGCTTGAATAAAAATGTTTCCACGTATAAGTGGTACCCCATATGGAAAAAGGATGACACCAAGTCCCAAAAAAATCCCAATACATGTAAATTAATTGGTTTACTTGAAAGTTATAGCATTTACAAATGCGGTATAGATACTGGATTTTTTTTCATACTAATAATGGCGGTGATCAGCAACTTATGGTGGTGATCAGCAACTTATAGCGGTGATCAACGACTTATAGCGGGACTGCGGGACTGGGGGACTGCGAGACTGCGGCGGGCATTCTGACACTGGGGGGAACTGGCCAGGGACACCAATACAGTGATCAGTGTTCAAAAAAAGCACTGACACTGTACTAATGGCACTGGGCAGGAAGGGGTTAACAATGAGTCACAATCAAAGGGTTTTACTAGGGGGTGGGAGTGTGTACTTCACTCAGCCATCCAGAGCAGTGTGCCCAAACCCACAGGGAGGAGGGCTCTTGGTAAACAATGCAGCCCTCCTCCCTGTCGGCTATCTCTGCTAATCACTGGGCACCAGCAGGTAATCATCGGACAGGACCCAGTGATTGACGCCCACAGCCATGAATGGCGGCGCAGGTAGGGCGTGCACGCGGCTTGCACACGCCCCCTATCTGGAAATGCAAAATCTCATATATATATATACGTGATTTTGCACACACGTTCAGCTGTGTACCAGTATATCTACTATAAGGCGGCGGGTAAGTGGTTAACTAAAATACAAATAGATAGCGTCCAGACCTGGTGAGAGCTGTAAACAGCTAATTAGTCTTGGCAGGATGTCTGTTTCCATAAACCATGAAAAACACTTTCCTCTGCTCTATCATAAAACCATAACAATTCAGTCAAGCTGTCACACATGATGTGTAAGGCCATTGAGGCTCTAGGAATGCAGAGCGCGCCATAAAATGTCTATTCCACAACTTAACAACTCCACATACAATTCATAGAGTTCAACAGGAACAAGACACATTAATAATAGGTATATATTTGAATGGGAAATATCATACCAAACAAATCAAGGTCATACATGACTATGTTAGCACATATGAAAGGGAAGAAAGCAGTCTCCTGCCATTTGGGTGACAAGGTATACTGTGTTTGGTTTTCCTGGGTTTGAAATATAATTCTGACTGTTAATCTGCCATTTGCTAGAATACCACCTGCACATACTGGAAGTTGTTAATATTAGTATGAACCTGTAGTTGGGCCTTGGTCATAAACTTGGTGACCTCCTAGCACCCATCCCCTAAATCGGATTATTGGTCAGTTGGTCTCTGTCCACACCAACTTGGTATCACAGAAAAGGGATGGTCAGGATTTAGTAAGGTAGCTCTCGTTTTTACCATCAACCAAGGAACACCCAAGAGAGCCACGGCAATATTTTGCTTGGACAATTGAACTCTGCTAAAACCAAGGACTTTGCAAGTATTCTGCCTTCTTAATGCCTTTTTATTTTATTCCTCTGTTGCTTTATTGTTCACTTTATTTCTTTGTAACATCCCTTTCTGTAAATATTTTGATTGCACCATTTGACCTTTTCATTAATAAACCCTATTTTGAAAAGTGTTAAAATTATCTCTAAGGCTTTTAATGCAAACTAAAGAATCCCTGCCTCTTTTAGAGTGCTACTGTACATAATAATTATCTGAATATACCTGTCTGTGGTGACAGTGTATGTTACAGACGTTTATTGTGCACATTTGTTCTTGCTAACATTTTAGGAAGGGTTGATAGTCCCAAAGCTATCTGGTGGCAGTTTGTAGTTGAAGGGTTAATTGCATAATTAATTAACCCAGTGACAATCGCTCTTAGGCTGCTAGCACATAGAGTGTGGTCCCGCAAGCTGGAAAATCTCTGTGCAGGGTGCAGTTGAGGGTGGCATTGTTACGCAAGTGACAGCACAGTGTGAGATTGGCTGGTCCTTTGTCACGAGTTGGTGAGGAGGGCAGGGGTCAGGCACTGCCTTTGTCACACATATGCCTTACAGCACATTGGCAGCAGATTAAAAAAATACATGGGCTGCCTTAGCGCAAAGCATGTTAGCTTGCAAGTAAGGGCAGACAGCTACATTGACAGTCTGCAGGAGCCTTACATTGCACCTGCAATCTTCTGATAGTGGGTGCAATACTTTACAAGCTCCTAATATAAAAAAAAAATTAAATTTTTTTAACTGCAAAAAGATGTGCTTTTATTATTATTTTTTTTAAAGAGGTGAACTTAATCTATAAAACTCCCCCCCCCCCCTCCACTAACACCTATGCTAACTAATCTGTATAAGAAAGATGTATACACTTACCTATTTGCAAGTTGCTCCAGTTCGGTCAAGTGATCTGGCTTCCCTGTGTCATCCAACATGGTTGCAGGGGAGAAGAGGAAAAGCCAACAATGGATGGGCCATTGAAGCCTATGGGTGATGTCTCAGGTCCAGACTTTACTAAATATTGTCAGAGAACTCTTCCCTGTAGCTGCTACTGGCTTACACAGGGAAGATCACGTGACTAGACTGGAGCGGCCTGAAAATAAGTATGTACATCTTTCTTGCACAGGTTAGTTAGCATAGGTGTTGGGGTAGTGGAAGGTTAGTTAGTTAGTTAGTTAGTTAGGTATAAGCTGGAATTCACTTTAAGAGACTATGGAAAAAATTTGCTAAGAAACCCAGAATACCTCCCACTGGATGCATTAACAATCCACCTTATTAATATGCAACATTTCATAATTACCTAGGCTAAAAAAATATTTTCAAACATTTAATTTTTAAAATTAAAACTATAAAACCACTTTACATTCTCTTTCAGATGAGACAGCACTTCAAAGTTATTAGCCGCATACCAAATAAGTAAAGGTGCACAACAATACTAACCTGCATTGTCTGAAAGAGGAGAGAGCAAAAGGTCAAAAATGGCATGATGGAACATTCATGGATTTTGTTTTCAATGCCTATATTAGTCTGTTCACAGTCTTGATTGTATCTTGGGTTATAGAAAAGTGTAAGGTGTTAGCACACTATAGTAAATTCTGATGTTCTTAGCAATCATTGGATAAATGAATAATTATTCATCAATTTAAAACTAATACTACATTTTTGCATGATGTATACAAAAAGTTGGCCACAATCAAAGACGAAATGGAAATTATGAGGCAAACAAAAAAGAGGTGGTAAGTAACAGTCTCCAGATCTAAAACAAGCTTACTGATGATTTATATCTGTGAAAAAAGGGATACAGCTAAAAACCGTTTTTTATTTGGTGTGAAATATCTTTAAAGCCATTAAAGCTCACACCAAGAAAAACTGTTTTACTTGCAGGTTAAATGCTGATAAGATGTACTAGGTCACCTAAGTATAGAAAGGTTCACAGATGTCTGCAAGTAACCATTTGTTCTTATGAGGTGTATTCTAGGACACTGCTGCTCTGTGCTCTGATAAAATCTAAATCTTATGAAGTAAAGAGTCAGTGTAAAACCTCAAAGGCATTTCCCATAAATCTGATAAATTACAGCCCAGGTGCGGTAACAATTTGTCACGACTGTTGTAAATATGTAGACTTTAACCAACCTGTCACAAAGGAGAAAGTGAGAGTCTGTCTGAGTGACTCTACCTGCAAATCACACCTGGAGTATATTACCTTTTGCAAGCTTGGACTAAATTTACAATCTTTTAAATGCAGTTACAAGCGATTATGATTTTGTAACTACTCCAGTCATTAGCAAGCCTATACAAGATATTTCTTTTCCAACAACATAAATACAATGCTGTCATTTCACATTACTTCACTTGAGGAGCCAGAACAAAAGAAATATAAATGATTGTTCAGAGGTTTCTTTATAAGAGTAAATACGGATATAAACAGCATTTTGTGTCTTAGTATGGATTTATGGAGGATGAACATTTTTAGGAATGTTCTAAATATATATAAAGTAGTGAGTATACTGAATGTACATTTCACAGTTGAAAAAATCTGGGAAACCTAATATCTGTATTCACATACAGTATGTCATTGCAGAATACAAAGGAAATATTCACTTGCAGTTTGGTAGAAATTTAGACCAAGAAAGGGTAATGCTGATCCTTTTTGTCTTGGTGATTGATATTTTTTGTGGCAGCATTTTAGAAGGCATCATTTCAAGGTCTGGCTTGCTTTCACCATCATTTCAAAGTCTGGCTCAAACAATTTATCCTGGTACAGCCACACATCTCTTTCACTCCAGTGTACTGTAGATAGCAAGATATCAGGTAGCAAACACAAGTATGTTTTTCATTTAATATGTAGATGTCAGGAAGCGAAAACTATCAAATACTTGTTCTGACCATTATTCATCCAATTTGTTCCATTTTGTGAGTTCAAATTCATCAATGTTGTTGAGGACCTGTGTCGATGGGCTTTCCGCTTATGTTGTTAGGAAAATGCAGCTTGCTTTTGACATTAGTTTGAGACACTTCTGAGATCATTCACGATTCATTGCAAGGTGCATTTAACTTGCACTTGTTCTCTTTTTGACCTGCTTCAAGCTGATTTTGCTTTCCTCTAAGCTTTCATGGGGATCCTCAAGTATAATTATATTACCCATATCTCATTGAGAATGAGATATTACCTACAGTAGGACCCATGCTGCTCTGAGGAGGTATTCTCATGGAGTCAAAAAGCCAACCACAATATACAACAAAAAGGATACTTCAATTTATGATAAACACCAACCTGTATCCTAAAACCCCCAAAAAAATGAAGAATTAAAAATTAGAATTTGAATTAGAATTTAGAAATTGTTAACACGCAATATATATAGAGCAATTTTATAAGGGTATACCATGAAAATTAAAAACATTACTTTTTTTTTTTAAGGTGATAACTAAGTGTTCACTCACCAAAATGGATTCAGATTTAGTTTTAAAAAACTCAAAAAAATTGTGCACATGCCATAATATAGAGCAGGTACAGTAGTAGTTGGAATATTTTTTTCTAGCAGTTTATTTGTTTCTCTATATAAATATATGACATTTGCTTACTATAACGCTCCTTTTTTTTCTCTTGTGCAAAGCACATTCACAAGTCAAAGGTTTTGGGTTTAAGTTTTTCTAACTCGAATGAGATCCATTTTTAACTACAAAATAAAGATTTATGTTTCCAGAATCATGTATAAGCCTTCCAACTCATCTCAACAGCACCATCCACACCCCACTTTTATCCTCCTTGTCCCCACAGTACTCTTCCTGAATTCAGTAAAAAAATGTCCAGAGGTGTCAGTTCCTGGGAATAAAATACAAATGTACAGATTTGTTCCAAACTTATCCCATTTGAACCACAAAAAAATGCAGCTTTTTCTGTACAGTTATGGTGTGGATAGTCTGCTCTTGAACCTTAAATAG